GCGGCCCTGCCGGCGGGGCGGCCCCTCCGAGTGCCCCTGCGGCCGTTCCCGCGGGGCCGGAGCGGGCCCGGGCGCCAGGCAGCTCCCTCGGCACCTCTGCTCCCCGGCCCCGGCCCGGCCCCGGCCCGGCCCCGTCATCTGTGCGCGGCCGCCGACCCGGCCGCGCTCCCAAATCCGGCCTCTCGCCTGGCGAGGAATGGGCTTCGTGCAGCCCCTCTGTGGCGCCCAGCTCGCCCTTTCCCCTGGCATACCACCCCAAGGCGTGTTCTGTGAGTTATATATATGCCATAAGGTGCTAAAATAGTCTTCCTGGTCTGCAGGTAACTCTGTTCCTCTTACAGGCCGATGTGCTGGCCTTCACATCTTTTGTTGCGGTGTTAGAGGCTCCTTGGCTATGTGGGGTTTTTGTTTGGTTTGTTTGTTTGGGTTTTTCTGGGGGGGAGCATAGGTCATGACTATATGTTTTGTGCTTTATTTAAACATCTGAGCCTTTTAGTGCATGGTGTTCTTTAAGCTGCCCACTGTCCGGGTTGTGTGTGGTTGTGTGTGCACCAAGGCATGTGCTTCAGGGCTGGGTTGCTCAAAACCACGCTGGAATTCTGCAGCTGATGTTATCCACCTGGCTGAATTCCCCTTTGTGGGCATCGCTGGTCCGTGAGAAGTGCTCGCAAGCTGCTGGAGGCCTCCTTGCTGGAGGCCTCCTTGCTCGGTTTCTTTTTCCACCTCAGTTCAGCAGGGTTGGCACCTCAGCCTCCTTCCCCTGCTGCTTGTGTTTCTGTGAGGTTTCCTTCTGCCTCGGGTACTTTCGTGCCCTTTCCTTTATACGATCCTTCTGCCAGGTCAAGCTTTGACAGATTTCCAGCATTGTTCCTGCTGGTTCTGAAGCACCTGCGGGTCTCTCAGCCTGCCTGTCCACCTCACGTAAAAGCTGTTTGCCCTCCTGGCGGCCTCTTCCTGCTTTGTCATTTGCCCTTCGGGCCCTGGCCTCCCTTGCTTTCTGTGCTATAGGCTTTCCCTCCCTTGCCCCTCCCTCGCTCCCAGGACACGTGGCACCTATAGGCTTTGTGATATAGGTGAGCCCTGAACACCAGAGGGTTGTTTTGKTTTTTGTTTCCCTTTCCTTCTCCTCCGGTCAAGTGTAAGGTGCAGGTGCCTCCCGTTGTTAGYGTGATCCTCGCTTTCTGATCTCATACCTTGTTGTAGCTCCAGCTGTCAGCAGCCCTTGCCTTGCCCAGAGCTTTGCCCTTGCTGCGGCTGCTCCTTGCTCGCCGTGCGGGAGCTGCTGGGGCGCCCACCCTGCTCCTGCCCCCCGGGCTGGAAGTATTTCTTTCAATTTATGATGATTTTCCCCTGTAGTAGAGCTAGATGATTTTACTTTAGTGCTCGTTTTCATAGTTGGAAGACTTTTTAGGGCCTGACAAAGTAATCACAGAATGGTTAGGCCTTCTCTCCTCCAGACTGAAGAGTCCTGAAGAAAATACATGTTCTGAACTAGTTTTCACTGCAGAGAAGACTTAAATATTTTGTAAACAGTTTCCATAGTCAGTTTACAGGATCCAGGATGAAGAGGATGGAGCTAAAAAGGGGGAACTCCAGAGGGGAATTAAATATGTTTGGAGATGAAAGGAGAAATGATGCTGTTAGTGATGCAAGAGGTAGAGGAGACTAGTCTAGTCTAGTAATACCCGCCTAGATGGCTCAGAGACTTAAGTGACTCAAGAGCTCCATTAAATGTTGTCTCAGATATCGCTGAACTTTAAGACCATAATTTACATACTAACTAGCTTACTAGCTAGACCACAGTGAACTATAACAACCCAGTAGCTTTCTGTGATGGAATGACTGGGTGGATAGACGAGGAGAGGCAGCAGGTATTGCCCGCCTCACAGAATCACCTCCTCTACCTTCACTTCAGTGTGGCTCTCTACACTGTCTCCCCTAAACGTTGGGATCCCAAATGCTGCCCATTCTCATGGCAAGTTAAGGTACAGTTGAGATGAACAGACAGTGAGATGGCCTGAAACCTGAGTGCACAGCAGAACCCAGAGCGTTGTGGTCACTGGTGTGGAGCCTACTTGGAGGCCTGTGGCYTGTGGTGCCCCCGGGGGTGAGTGCTGGGCCCAGCCTTGTTTGGCATTGCCATCAGTGACCTGGATGGGGGACAGAGCACTGCTGCAGCGGGTTTGCTGCTGAGACAGACCTGGGGTACAGCAGAGGGCTGTGCTGCYGTTCAGAGGGACCTGGCAGGCTGGAGAGATCGCAGAATGGTTGAGGTTGGAAGGGACGCTAGAGCCCATCCAGTCCAACCCCCTCCTCCAGCAGGGACACCCAGAGCACGGGGCACAGGGCAGCATCCAGGCGGGTTGGGAAGATCTCCGGAGAAGGAGACTCCACAGCCTCCCTGGGCAGCCTGTGCCCAGGGCTCTGGCACCCTCACAGTAACCCACACTCCTTCTCTGGAGATGCTCAAAACCTACCTGGACATGATCCTGTGCAGTGTGTTGTAGGCAGCCCTGTTTGAGCACTAGATCATCTCCAAAAGTGCCTTCCGACCTCAGCCATTCTGTGATGACGTCCTGAAGACCAACTCCTTCTTTCCCTTGATTTGGATTGGCTTAAGTGGCTTCTTCTGTAGTCCTTGAGGGGCGTCTGACTTTTTAGCCTTCTGAAAGTGTAGACTTTCCCAAAGATCCAAGCTTTCTAGCTGAGGTGTATTAAAAATAGCAAGTTACTTTTTTGAAATGCCTTGCATTTAAATCCGACTTGCAGCCTGCTCCTCCAGGCTTCAGTAATCTCTTGAGAGCTCTACCTTTCTGCAGCAATTCCATTTTTAGGCAGATGTGGATATAGTGGACAGCAGTTATAATTATTTGCAGCTTTGTTTGCAGGCCTTTTGCGAGCTGGAGAATATAGCTGAGGACACATCTGCCAGGGTCGGCGTGAAGCAGTAATTGGGATTCTCACTGACTCTCTGTTAGTCTCTGGAAATGCTTTTTATTCCCTCTTTCCCTTGTAACTGTTGRAACAGCTGCTGTAAGTCTGATTGCCACTGCTAAAAATACATGGGAAGGTACTTGCTTTAGTGCCACCTGTAGTCGGTGTGTGTTTGTCATCTGCAAACACGGAGCCTTCAGACTGCCCAGGAAGGAGATTTTTCCCTTTGTGGGGAAAAATCAAAGGCTCTGGAGCAGTCCCTGAGGTATCTGAAGGGGGTAGACTGGGTGAAGGCGGGTGGACAGGGCAGTTCTTGGACTGGCTGTTCTTTACATTGCTTGATAAGCAGTCATGTGTTGATGGTAGGTGACTTCCTGGTGTGACGCTAGTTTCTACAGACACTGGAAATGTGTTTTTGGTAACTGTAGTTATCCTGAATCTTTCCAAGAAAGAAGCCACTGAAGTTTCTTTTGATGCATAGTGCTATGGTGCAGCTCTTCATATTCCTTTTCTGTGTGTGAAGAGGTAAAGCTGGCAGGAGCTGGAAGGCTTTGCATGGTGGGATGCTGTGGAAAAATAGATTTTTGTCTGTCCGTCTGACTAGTGTGCTGGCTGTGCTGAGGCCCCCAAAGCACCTAGTTTTTTTTTTCCTTTTGATGTATAGGGAGCTTAAATGCATTTTTATTGCTCTTGCAGTGTTAGTGTCTGAACCCCTTAGGCAATAACAGCTCTGATGGATTTTTAAACTGGAGCCAAAGTCCAAAAGTTCTGTTAACTTTTCTCAGCAGCCCCGGCCATATGCTCCAAACTTGCCATTTCAGCGTGCTCGGTCCTCGGGTGCAGCACGGACCCTGGGACACGTCCTTGCCTGGACGTGGGGCAGGCAGYGCT